TTACGTTCGTCTTGTTTCGATACATTAATTTTTGACGGTTACAAAGATTCATTCGTGGCAAGTCTAATTTTGTGTTGTTACAAGCAGCTTGCGTCATTTTTGGCAAGCTTAAAAGTCCAAAATTAATTATGGAGAATACTCTACAACGTAAGTTTAAATTTCAGGTTCTAGGCAGGTTTATCGGGTTGAAGGTTGGGTTCGTTAATATTCGAAAAAATATTGCAGGAAATATTCCTGAGCTCAAAAAATATGGCTCGAAAAAATGCAAAATTTCAAAAAAATTGGGATAGCTATTGGATATAATAAAGCAAGGCTCTGAGATAAAGAATATGTAAACAATTATGAAGATTCGAGCAAAATTGGATTTTTGGTGAATTTTTTCGTGCGGCTAGTTTAGGAGCGGGCGCGCCTTCGAGCAAACTAGGGCTCCTGGACCCTACTTCACTTTTTCTAAACTCGTATAGGCAGGCAACATATCCAAAGGGCATCAAGAATCAAGATCTGGCATTGAAAAGTTCGTACGTATTCCTCCTTATCTAGGAATGACTATGTAAATTTATGCTCTCTAGAATAACCAATTAATTATATCAAACTAATTATGGAGCAAGGAATGGGATGAGACTCACTGTAAACTGTAGAATCCGGATTTAAGGGCCAATGGTCAACGTTTCGAACCTTCGTTCTTCTTCAGGACCGGAGGGAGAATTTTTGGTGACTGCTCACGGGAAGAACCAATGTGAGTGTGAAGGAATGGGGATAGGAAGGATGGAAAGGAAGACTGCTACGCCCACGTGGTCTGGCAGTCTTCCTTTCCATCCTTCCTATCCCCATTCCTTCACAGTCACATTGGTTCTTCCCGTGAGCAGTCACCAAAAATTCTCCCTCCGGTCCTGAAGAAGAACGAAGGTTCGAAACGTTGACCATTGGCCCTTAAATCCGGATTCTACAGTTTACAGTGAGTCTCATCCCATTCCTTACTCCTTATTATACTCACTAGCACATTTTACCAATTATTATCAAACTAATTATCTCAATCCTTCACAAATTTCAATTTATTACAAAATATTAAATTTGACGTCAAACTATTTCAAAACTTTAAAACAATTATAGAAGTTTCCTCAAAACCTTGAAATTAATTTCTTCACTCGTAGTGAAGAAATGAATTTTGTCATATTCCTGCTTAGCGAAGGTGTTAAACTATTTATAAGCCAATTATTTTAATTGGGAGATAACAATTTCACTGTCAAATCTAACAATTAAAATAGCAGGATTATTTAAATATTACTAGATCACGTAGTCTTAACAATTAACTTTTGACATTAAAGTTGTCATTTCAACCAGTTTGCAAAGATTACGAAAGAACCATAATTCGTAATCCTTACACAGTTGGCAACCCATCGTTAAGTTCAAGTAAAATATTCGTGATAATTAATTTGGCGTTTAAATTTACCATTTCTCAAAACCTTGGTAAATTTATATCTTGACAATTCTAACCTATAGGTTAGATATATCAAACTTCGCATGTTTTTAAACATTCTCATGAATTTATGAAGTTTACGAACATTCCCATGAATTTATAAAGGTTACGAGGGAAAGATAAAAAATTTAGTGAAGCCACATATTATTTCACCAAATTATTAATCTACATTTTTTCCTAATTTATTAAATTTCCTAACAATCGAAATTTTTAAATCGCAGAAATTTTACAAGTTTTTAGTAAAACAGTTTAGTGAATTTATGATCCTCCCTGCTTTTTTTTAGTTGATAGATTCCAACCATCTTAATCGTTTACAAAGGTTACAATTTATAATAAAATATTGCAATTGACGTCAAACATTTCTAAACTCAATACTTCTCAAAAATTTTCTGACAAAACCTATTCATTTCTTAGCATATAACCAAAATCCAAAAATTCCAAATAATTATGTAAACTGTTAGAAACCTGGTACGCAGGTATTGATTTATCGGTATTAAAGTTACTACCGCTTGGTATTAAAATTATACCGGCCGTAAAAATTTCATACCAATATTGTCAAATTTTAATACCGGGTTGTATTATTCATCAACAACCACGTTGGTAGAGTCATACATGAATACCGCCTGGTATTACTTTCATACGGGATTTCTAAGCCTGTATAACTGCTCTACTCTCATACAGATCTCGTCTTTTTGTAGCTGCAATATCCCTAAGCGATTGGGAGAACCGATATGAAAATACTGTGGTTCGAAAAAGTAAGGTAATTTAAGCAGGTAACATTGTAAAAACCGTAAATTCTTTAAACTTACAAACTTTGACAAAATTTTAAAACAGTATTAAAAAAGTATATTTGAGGAAAAATAGCTTACAAATTTTTGTAAACTTACTCAAATCAAGGGCGATTCCCTTTATTTTGTAAAAGTTTGAAAAATTATTTATAAAACTAAAACGCACGAATTTTATAAGCCACAATTTAATTGCGTGAATTGCCTCATATTTCTATGCGAGAATTAGACGCCGCATTAAAAAATTGGCAAATGCAGTTAAAAAGCTATAATATAGTTACTGAAAAATTGAGCAAGTTTCACACTAGAAAAAGTCTTAGATAACTACTTAATAAACCAATTGCATATTTAGGTTCCGAAGAATTCTTCTTTCCAATCTTCCGTATTGTGTTTCGTGGTGAAAAAATAGTTTTAAATTTCGTAATATTTAGTTCAAAACTTGAAAAATTATTTCGAAAACGTTTTCCAAATTTCATAATTCTGCGAAAATTTTCATTCGAATTATCTGAAAAGTGAACAATTTCGACGCCATATAAGTAAAATGCCAAAATGGTTAACACAGTTCTTATTAAACTCCGTTAACATGGAGTACATTAGCCGAACGAGCCGAACGTTGAATAATTTAAACGCCGAACTAAAAATAAGAGGTGTCAAATAATAAAATGATTCAATAACTCAAGTAACTTGAAACATTTTTTAAGAACTATTTACAACCATGCTGGTAGGTGTAGAATTTCAAAATTTGAAAAATATATTTTGAAACTTTGCGTCTCTAGTTGAAACTCTCTACCCACGGGCAAACCGGTTGGAGTGGAAGTGTGTAAAGGAGTACAAAATTCCTGATTCTGACGTGACCATTGTGAACGATCAAATCGTAGTTCATCCCGAAAAATTCTACCCGGAACGATTCAGCCAGGCAAATAAGGCAGAAAGACATCCTTACTCGTACCTCGCGTTCAGAATGGGACCCAGAAATTGCATTGGTAAATATATTTATATTTTGTAATTTATGAAAATTTACACAATCGTATTTTCAAAATATTGAAGCGCTTTTACGAAGAAACGAAAATTATGAAAATTTGTACAATGGCAGACAAAATTTTACAATGGCAATTTTGAACAATATTGAGGCAATTCACGCAGCCATCTGTAAAATACGTAAATTGTGTAACACAATTTTATAAAATTTTACAAAATACAAAGACCCATTTGACCATAGTAAGTTTACGAAAATTTGAAAGCCAATTTTCGTCAAAAATATTTGTGAAATTTTGTAAAAGTTAATAGAATTGCGGATTTCAAAATCTTAACAAGGCCTTCATGAATTACCTCATTAATTCCGAACGTTATTTTGTTCAATATTAATTCTACTCTCAAAATATTTAAATTATTTAAGCAGATTTAAACTAAGGACTACTAATTTCACAAAAGTTTCACCGTCTAACACGAAAAACCAATTTTTTTATTGCATTGCGCCGAATTATTAATCTGATTTTTTTCCTAATTTCAAATTTTTGCAGGGATGCGATTTGCGTTATTCGAAGCGAAAGTGGCCATCGCCTACTTTCACATCCAAGTTGGATGATCCAACCAACTCCAAAAACTCCGATCCCGGATCGGGATCGGACGTCGTATCAATACGGCAGATTTTTAAAATACACAAGTCTCCATACTTGACATTTTATTGGGCATAGCAATTCGTTTAGCAAATGGCATGTGAAATAATTTTGCGACCTAAATTTGCGATGGAATTTTACGAAATAAACAATGTCCATTTACTAAAGCCAGAAATGTTGTCAAATCGCTTGATCGATCATATTCATTATAAAAATTACACTGTCAACGAATTTAACTTCTAAAAAGTTCGCACTGAAGTGATTCAGTCGTCATAAAAAATCCATTCAAAACCAAAATTAGACTTATATTAAAATTAGTAACTTGACATATATAATTTAACTTGTATATTTTTTTTAGCAATTTATTCAGACAATTGGATTTTTTATTCTGAAAATCTATTTACCTATTTAAGAAATCGAATTGTTATCCAAACCTATCGTCATTTAGAAAAAAAATCATGTTTCGTAAAAATGCAATATTGTATAAACAATTGTTAAATTAAATTTACATTATTTACATATTACTCGATATTACGGGGACTGTTAATGGATATGTAATTTATCCTAGCCTCATAAATAAATATTTCAAACAAATTTAATCCGATTTTTAATCTAGATTTCAAGCATTTCCTTTTGCCGAATTTAGTCTATTTCTACAATGAATTGGTCAATTGCATTAAAATTTTAAATTGACGTTACACTTTCGCATTTCAATTTTTATTAGCGATTTCAAGCACGTAAAATACTTGAGATTAGGGAAATGGTTTGATACGTACGATACGATATTTTTAGTCTACAATCCAAAAAGAAATAAAATATGGATTCTATAAAAATTGCTATTTTGAAAATTGCTACATTTTCATTTCATCAGCGTTGCATGCAAACGTTGAAAATGCGAATCCATGAATTTCAGGAGTAAAATGAGATTTTGCAACTCGCGAATGTCAACCGGATTTTTCAGTTTCACTCACACAATGAAACATGTCATGTTTCATCTCAATTTTTAAGAAATAATGTTGCCAAATTTCTGCAATTAAATTGTGCATTCTGGGGACATTCTCAAAAATATTTGGTGAAACTGTCAACATGGAAGTTGAGTAACTCAAGATGATCTCGTAAGTTGGGATGGGACAAATCAAACTTGTCTAAAATGTTATTTATTATAGTTTGGTTTCCTAATTAAATTATTAACAACCTGGTTCTGATTTTAATTGAAATTTAGCCACGATAACAGCCACCTTAAGAAGAACAAGACAGACACGGTCCCGAAGAAACGGTCGGATCCTGAGAGAAATCGCTGTTCAAAGGAAAACTCGTTCTAATTTTATACCCAAAATTGATCCTGAACTTTTAAATTTAACGAGGTAATTAATTACTACTAACTAGTTTCTGTAATCTTACTTAATTACTATTTCTGTGCTATTGACGGTTACACAAATTTTTAAAACCCGGGGGCCGGTTAATAAGGGTACCAAATTAGCAGATAAATGACTACAAAAATGTTCCACTTCTCAAGTATAAAAATGTGTTCCTAAAAATTATCCACCCCACAAATTCCAATTTTGAAATTATTCACCACTACATAGATTAGAAACCCAATTTGATTTTAAATTCCATCCAAGAACATTTGCAAATTAGAAATGAATTGAAATTGCAGCGTACTTAAATTTAATTAAGTTTCCTCTTTTTTTAAGTTCCAGTTCCAGCAGCAGCAGCAAATTATCGTTTCGTTCCACTTCCGCCTTGTACTCGTCCCATTCTTGCAAACTGTCCCTGCTCGACAACCCCACGTCCGACCCGACCCCGCTCCTCGGTCGCAGAAGGGTCGCCGCCGCGAAGAAAAAGGCCCGCGCCGCGACCAAAGGGCCTTTCTGGTTCTGGGGACTTTGAGGAAATGGAGGTACACTAAAAAAATCATCAAATTTGTAATCATTTAACCGCTCTGGAAATTTATTTTGAAATTCTGGACGACTAATTGTTAGTCAGTAATGGAATGGTAATGAGTTTTTTAAGCCAGTTTCAATGAGTTCCAATTTTTCTGAAGGTTCTTCTTAAACTTGAGATTTCCTCTCCTTCAAAAAGTGTCAAATTCTGGAGTATATATTTTCAAAAAATAGGGAGCGATCTGTTGTACGAATTTGTCCGACAGAATTTTAAGATAAATCTCCAGAGAATGTGCTGGTTTTGACGATGCGTCATCGAGTCCTACATTAATTATTTACTTGTTAATTACGTAAATGTTAAATTTCTGTACAATTTGATTTCTTTAAAAACCAATTTCTTAAAAACGGAATTTCTTAAATTTTAGAAAAATGAAGAAGATTTCGACACCCCCTTCGAAGATGAAGATGACGGAAACTTGTCGGAGTTGTCGCTTCCCGTATCGTCTGAGGAGGAGGAAGCCGATAAAGATAAGGCGGAAGGTGGCGATAGGGAGAAAGGAAACCTTAAAGATAAGGAAGAATTGCCGGAAGAAGAGGTAAACTAATTAAAAAAATTGTAAATATGAAATTTCCTAATTTGGTTTTTGTTAATTTAGGCTCGTAAACGCCGCCTAGAATATATTCTGAAACGTTCCGAATTCTACACAAAAAAACTGACTGCGGGCGGCATAGGGGGCCTCACTTCGGGGGGAAAAGTAGCCACTGCCAACTTAAATTCTACGGCAGGAAGGTAATTGACTAGCTTAAAATAGCTAACGAATTAACGTATGTACAATAGGACTCGATAACTTATCAGTGATAAAACCCACCACATTTTTAATCATTTATCCGCTTTGGAAATATACGTATTTTAGAATTCTGGACAATAAAAATTGCGATGAGTTTTTGGACACAGTTTCAAATTGAAACTTTCAATAAGTTCCAATTCTTCTGAAGACTTCCTAAACTTTGAATCTTGTCCTTCAGAAAGTGTCAGATTTTGAAGTATATTTTTACAAAATTGGGAACGACCTGCGCTACAAATTATTCTTCCAGAATTTTTATATAAATTCCTAGAGTTGATTGAGAAATGATTAAAAATGTGCTGATTTTTACTTTAAAAACTTACCACCATTCTATTAATCAACTTACCGGGGACAAATTTGCCTTGAAAAATTTTTAAAACAACTTCCCAAAGTCTATGGAAATTGGTTTTAAAATTTGGGTACTAATTAAAATTAATGCATGAATCAAATCTAACGAAATTTTTGTGCAATACTAACGATGATCATACCGAGGTTTTTTAATCGTTAAGTGGTCCGAATACATCTTCCCTACCGGCGGAGAAAATACTTTATGGCGCACCTCTCATGAGCGCTTTGCCACTCGTTTCACCAATGTCAATGATGAATTTCTCCATAACCCGCCGAAATTTTTCAAAATTTTTTGGTGTCCTTTTTTCATGAGAGTATTATTTCATAATTTGTGCCCAAAATCATTCAAGGGGTCGACACTGAGGTACTTTTGTGGCGAAGTCTTTCTTCACGACGAAATCAACTTTTTTTCCTCGAAAGTACTCTGACACTATTTTGGTGCTATGGCACGTACCCATGTTCGGCCAAAATAAAACGTGTTTGTTTTTGATAGAGGGGGTCAATCTCTTGATGACACACTCTTTCAAATAAAGTTCAAAGTTCATGTTCTTGGTGGAAGCGAATGGATTTGAGACGCTCCCATTTTTGTCGATCGCCAGCCATTTTATCTATTTCATTGGAAATTTTGATTGGCTTTGAATTTATATTTCGAACGAACGTCATTTTTGCTTCTATATGAGTAGAACTTTATGCGATTGACGCTTCGAGGTCAGCGGGGCAATAGTTTTCATCGTCTACGACGAGAAACTTCTAAGAGTCGGTTTCAACATTTTCTTATCAAGTTTTCGACAATTTGTTTTCGTTCTGCCATTTTTATCGTCCGTGTTTTTTGGTGCAGTTTTAGTGTTGTGAGTTTTGAAGCCCATCTTATTGGCGTTGATCCTGAGAAGTTAGGTTTTTGAAATTTTTAGTTGTCTGGGTGCAACCCAAATTAATCTTTTTCTGTAAAAGTTTTTCCAGGTTTTTCGTCAGGGTTTTGGTCTGCTAGCGGACAGGTCGACAAGGCCAAATTTTATATATTACATTTTCACGATCCTTATATCTATATAGTGTATGGCTAATTTTGTCCGGTTCATTCTTAGAAGGATAAAGCGGTCACGAGCCTTTTTCCGATCTGAAAAAATCTCTTTTTCGCACGAGTGGCAAACTAATTTTTCCACTTCCTCTAAATTTTGTGCTGTCATTTTTTAACGAAAGGAGATAATCAGATTCTGTTTTCAGTTTTAGAAAGCTTATCAAATTTGCCGATTTTTATGCCTTTTGCATTTGCAAAATTCATTTTTAACTGGGTGAACCAATAGAGGGAACCTTGACAATTTCAATATGCGGGCAACTCTTAGTTATTGAGTTTTGGATTACTCTCTAAACCACAGTTTTTTTTTACTTCAGCCGACGCCGGTCCCTTGCGCCGTCGACGACGGACGACGAGGACCTAATGGACTCACGCACTTCCTCCTCCAAAGGCCCCGTCATATTCGACACCTCCCCCGGCTTCATCACGGGCGGAAAGATGCGCGACCACCAAGTCCGAGGACTAAACTGGCTCGTAAGCCTGTACGATCACGGGATTAATGGGATCCTTGCGGATGAGATGGGGTTGGGAAAAACGCTCCAAAGTATTTCCGTCCTCGGTTACCTGAAACATGTCAAGGGGCTGAAGTACCACGCCCTTATCATCGTCCCCAAAAGTACGCTGAGCAATTGGATCAACGAAATCCAACGGTGGTGCCCAACTATTAGAGCGTTGGCCATGATTGGAGATGAGGTATCAAGGCAGAAACTGATTAACGAGGGGTTGAAAAAGCTGAAAAATTGGGACGTGCTAGTAACAACGTATGAAATGGTGCTGATGGAAAAGGCTGTATTACAAAAGGTAGGAAATTTTGGAAATCGAAATTTGCATCCAACTATTCTCATCAAATTTTACAATTCGTAATAATAACTTAAAACTTTAACACTGTTTTGTTAAGGTAGGACTCCGTGGCTCGTCACCAAAATCAGCACATTTCTATTCATTTCCCCGTTCTGGGAATTTATTTTAAAATTCTGGGCGACAAATTTGTAGACAAATTTATTGGCAGGGAAGTGCCAATTTCTTTAAATATACCATTCAGATTTTGGTAGATTGTGAAGGAGGAGATCTCAAGTTTATGCGAACCTGGCTTAAAAAAACTCTTAACTCTTTAAAACTTTTAAGAATTTTAAAATAAATTTCCAAAGCCCAGGAATGATTAAAAATGATTTTTGGTGACGAGTCAATAAGTCCTAGGTTAAACATGGTCTAAAATTGATATTTAAAAATTTAACTGCATCCTGATAACCCTTATTTCGAATTTTGTTTAGATTCACTGGGGCTACCTCATAATCGACGAGGCCCACCGGATCAAGAACGAGCAGTCCTTGTTGGCCAAGGTCGTCCGGACGTTGCGGTCCAGCCATCGCCTCCTCCTGACCGGAACTCCCCTGCAAAACAACCTCCACGAGCTGTGGTCCCTCCTCAACTTCGTTCTTCCCAAGTACTTCTCCTCGTCAGAAGATTTTTCCTCGTGGTTCGCCGAGATTGGTGCCGAGAGCGAAGAGCTCGTCAAGCGGCTGCACACCATCCTCCGCCCCTTCCTCTTAAGGAGACTAAAGTCCGAGGTGGAAAAAGGACTTCCGCCCAAGATCGAGAAAAAGATTTACGTGGGGCTGTCCCAAATGCAGCATCAGTGCTACAGGGACATCCTCCTAAATCAGTTCAGCGAGGTGAGTTAAGAAATAGTTTTATGTAAATCGCAATGGTTTGTTTGTCTGTGTGATGACAATATTTAAAGAATTTTTTAGTGTGTGTACTCAGGTCAATGTGTATCTGGCAAATTGGGCCTGCAAAACTTGCGAGATTTCCCATTACTTTTGCTAAGAAGCATGTGATTTATTCGCAAATTTACGATTTTATTTCGCAAGATTTATTCCCAACCTCCTTTAATCGCTGGAAATTGTAAATATATAATTCATCGGAACCAATTTATTCAACACAACTGTTTGTACAGATTTGAGAAATCATATTTTACGATTCCCCTCGCGACATTAATTTCTATAGCTTCACAAGTTTTCTTAATTATGTAAATATTTGCAATGCAAAATATTTAAGAAGTTGATGTGAGTTTAGTTACTTATGTTAGAGAGCGAAATTACAAAGCGTGTCTTGAATTAACGTGACTTATCATAAGTTTAAGTGAATTATTTAAAAGTAAATTTCGATAATTTAAATAGATCATACGGAAAGATATGCCAAAATTAAATTCTTAAGTGGCCATCATTATCTTTAATTAACTAATTTTTCATTGTTCTCCCCTAGTTAAATTCCGAGGGAAACATGAGCCACCAAAGCCTCGCCCACATCGTCTTACAACTCCAGAAATGTTGTAACCACCCGTACCTCTTCCGCGGTCAGGAGCCCGGTCCTCCCTACACGTGCGAACCCCACTTGTTCACGAACTGCGGAAAAATGCTGGTGATGGACAAACTCCTGGAGAAACTTAAGCAGGAGGGGAGCCGTGTCCTCCTCTTTTCTTCCATGGCACGGATGCTCGACATTTTCGAGGACTACTGCTTCCTCAAAAAAATGAAGTACCACCGACTCGACGGAAGTACAGAGTACACCGAAAGACAGAAGATGATTGATGAATTTAATAGTCCAGGTGAGGAAAAGGAAATTCTTTAAATTATTTATGAACAGATGGCAGATATGTATTTATTTTCAATTTTTTTAAAAATTTTATGATGACCAAAGGTATAAAATTTTGTGGGTGTGTTCCCTAACTCGCATATGTAGATAGCCAAAATTTCAAAAAAATCGTATATTGTCAAATTTTGCTAGGTTTTCGCAAATCGACACTATTATGCAATACTTTACAATGAAATTGTTACAACGTTACAGTCAATACATTTTTCGTAAATACATAGCCGGCCTCTGATTGTCATCATAATCGTTCACATTCATTTATTCAGCAAATTCTTGAATTATGAGTGAATAATTTTTGAACAATGAATACTGAATAATTACTTGTTTTCAAATTTTGAGTGAATGAATAATGAATAAGTATTTTTTATTAATTTTTATATCGAATGAATTTTGAAGGAGTAAAAATTTTTTGAACAGGCATGAAAATTATGTCAAATTAATTTGTGTTTTGTTTTGTCGTAGGGAGCGAGACGTTCCTCTTCATGCTGACCACGCGGGCGGTCTGGGAATCAATTTGACTTCGGCCGATTGTGTCGTGATTTACGATTCCGACTGGAATCCAATGGTGGACCTGCAGGCGATGGACAGAGCTCACAGAATCGGACAGACGAAACAAGTCCGCGTCTTCAGGCTTATAACGGAGGACACCGTGGAAGAGAAAATAGTGCAACGGGCTGCTCTAAAGTTAAAATTGGACAATGTAAGAAAATTATAAAATTTTGAAATTTAATTGATTTCGAGGTTTGACATTTATTAAGGTGTGAAACAAAGTGAAACCCCTTTATGGAAATGTACTGTCCGTCTGTCCGTCCGTCTGATTCTATCCATGACAACTTTAGACCAGATGCGAGACAACTTATCTCATTTGGTGTCACCTTATTGCTTTCGTTTGCTACAATTTACTTACGAATGCTATGCAAATGCTAAAATTTAAAAAATCCAAATTTGGTCATTGCCATTAATGAAATTATGAAAATATTGAGTTTGACAGTTTTCCTAAAAAATATTACATATTTAATTAAAAATCTACATACTTATTTTTTCAGGTCGTCATCCAACAAGGACGTGGACAAATCGTGGACAAATCCCAAAACGTCCTCTCCTCCGCCGACCTCTTATCTTGGGTCCGACACAGCGCTAAATCAATCTTATCCTCCGACGGAGTGGAAACAATAGCGGACGAGACCATCCAAGAAATCATGTCCAAGTCGGAGGCGAAATCGGGCAAGGTGGACGAAGCCATTAACGCCCTCCCAGAAAGCAGATTGGCCACCTTCACCATCGACTCGCAGGCACAGGAAAAGGACCATTTCGACTTTGGGGGGGGGGAAATTTCCGGCGGTTGAGGGAGGAGCACCGCCGGAAGCAGAGGGAGGCCAAAACAACTTCCGGATACTTTGACGTAGATCAAAACATCACCGGAAGTCAACGAGCCAGCAAATTGAAGGCTCTGGCCGCGATCAGTGGGAAACCAAACGAGGGAACCCCTGCCGCAGACGCTAGGGAAATGAGCAGTGTTGGAGGAGGCGGGACGAACGGCGGTGGTGGTGGTGACGACGAGAAGATGGAAGAAGACGACGATTCTGGAGAACCGGTTCAAAATCCGGTCATCACGAACAATAATAACGAGGCGAACGGGGATGACAAGGAGGACGATGATGACGACGAGGGTGACATGTCCCACTCGCGATTTGACGATTACGACATGCTCTCCTCCGTGGAAGAGATGAACAATGGGGACGGTCATTACGATGTCGGGACCGGAAATGGATTCAATGCCGCGGCCAATTTTACCGATGACGATTTACGCGCAGATCTTGAAAATTGTCGTCTTCACGAGGAGACGGATTCGGACTCGTTACACGTCATCTCGTCCGGTCCGTCATCCTGCAACACGGTCTATGGCGAGGATAATACGAGCGACATTTCGTCTCAGAGCGCCCCTATGAGCGTCCCACCCCCACCGAGTAGCGTGGGAGGAGGCATTTTTGACCATGGACAGGCAGGAAGTAGTGACGTGAGTGAAATAGTAATACGAAATAAAAGTTTGTTTTTATATTTTGGGTATTAAATTTTCTTTCTTTGTTCAGGTTATGAATAATTCTCATCAGAGAAGCTCTTCAAGCTGTTCGGGAGGACCTCCATCCGTTCAAACGTTTCCACAACCGGGATCCAATTCAAACTCGAGTTGTATGATGGCGACAACTTCGGGTGGTGGTGGTTCAGGGACGATGGCGTCCTCACCATTTCAACCCAGTCCGTCTGGTGTGATGACGAGTAGCAATAATTCCCCACCGAATCAAGTTGGTCTTGGTCCAGTTTTGGTCATGCCGACGAATCCACAACAGCAGCAACAGCAAATTCAGTCACCTGTAGGGAGTGGAAATGGGGGTGGTCACAACGGCGTTGTCGTGATGCATGAGCATGGTCAACAGCAAAATAATAACAACCTGTATCAGCAACAACAAAATAGTTCTCACTGTAAGTTTTGTACAATTGTCTGTGTGTGCAAATATTAACTACAAATTATAATTTTTCCTTTATTTTTAGATTCAGAACACGCTCAAGAGCAACAGCAGCAACGCCTCCACGCGTCACAGCCTAGTCCAAGTCCTCAAACCATCAAGAGATGCATAAGATGGGTGAAGACCGAAGTGTTGAGGCTGTCGCTGAAGAAATGAGTGCTGGGGTTGTGCCTGTGTAAGAATTTTAATATGTATTCAAAATGTAATTTTTTTGTAGCCCGAACCAGGGCTTATGTAATTGTCATGTCCGTCCGTTCGATAACTCTCGAACCAGTTGACCGATTGACTTGAAATTTTTACTATGTGCATATTGGACAAAGTTAGGAAACGAGTTCGTGGATGGACGAAATCGGTCAAGTGGTTGACCTGTGGGGGTTATCGGAGTGGGTCGGGTATTATGCACCAAAATTTCAAAATTGTAGAAAGCTGAAATTTGACATACAGGTTGCTAATGGCTCATAATGAAAGGATATGAAGTGAAATTGGAAAATTTGGCAACCGGAGGTCTGATGGGAGTTTCAATCGCGGTTCGTACAATATTTATCCCACCCCCGTCACTCTTCTTCTTTGTCCACTTTTCGTCTTGCACCCACGACTTGAACTTGTTTCAACGTTCCCACCGTCGCAGAGGCGGAGGCTAAAGATTTTGGCGTCATGTGAACCGATGGTGTAGTAGCGACCGTTACACCGCGGCGAGGTCGTCGAGACAGCGTCGACATCTCGGCGTCTTTGTCGAATTGGAAGGTTTCATGGGAGATAAGAGCAGCTTCTTTCGAGCGCTACTGAAAGTAGAAGGAGCAGATTTACGACTGACAACTTCAGGCACAGGTTTCACTTCAGGTGGTGATGGGGAAGGTTCTTTGGTGGGCACATTTTTCTTCTTGCTCTTGCGACCCGTGGGGGTTGACACGCTCGGAGAACTTGTCACACTCGCGCTCAACTTGATTCTTCTCTGCGGTGGAGACAAACTCTTTCGCCGATTTTGCTCCGCATCCGCCAGCACGCTCGCCTCCTTCAGCCACGATATTCCCGTAGTCTTGGTCCATGAGGAGAGATTTCCCTGAGGACGACGACCCTCCAGACGACGGCCCTGTTTTCACCTCCAAATGATCACACTCCGATTTTCGCCCCTTTTCCCCTTCACTCGCTCCCTTTTTCGGCGATGGTGAAGACGAGTCCGGAAGTAGGACAGTTTTGGTAGTGCTCTTCTTCTTGTGTGAAGCTGATGGGCTCACAGATTTCGCCACGGACTTTTTCTCGACACGTTTCTCCACGAAGAGATTGGATCTCGGGGGCGAAATGCAGGACGACGAGGCGTCGTCGGCGTTGTAGTGGCGACGACAAGAGATTTTTTACCCGAGGGGGACACAGATTTGCTTGTCGTCACGTCTTTATTATTTGTATCCTTGTTTTTGGGTCGACCACGTCCGGGCTTTTCAGGAACAGGGTCAATAGTACCGTCATCATTCGCCACGGAGGGCGACGGTTTGGTAGTTTTTCCTTTCTTTGGCGCCGATTGCTCGAGAGGAGTGTCTCCATCGCTGAGTTTTCGCTTGGGGGGACGACCTCGCCTCCCAGACTTGATGACGACGGGTGTCGGTGAGGGTGATGCTGCTGATGGAGGAGTTGTTTTTCGTGTTTTTCGCTTAGGTTTTCGTTAAATGACGTTTGGCAGAGATAATTGCATCCGAATGAGAAAAAATGCGGTCAAAAGTGGACACATCTTACACTTTACAAATTTATTCCCACGCATTTTCTTCTCTTCGGATGCAAATATCTCATTAGGAGATCGTGTCTGTTGCAAATTTCATAATAATTAAAGTTGTGATCAATTGACACTAATTTGCTCAAAATCGTAGAGGATGCACTGGGAGACCTCCATAATTAATTTTATTTTAGAATTTAACTAGAGTTTACTTATAATATTGTTTTATATTTAAATATAGATCGCAACGTCGTCGGGAAATTATACCCAGATTCTTGAAAAATAAAACAAAACACATTTTATCACGACTCCCGGTTCGCCTTTTCCACAAATACTACACCCCCGTGGATGACCCCACCAACTTCATGGAGGTAACGTGTAATCTGTGTGGGCGGACTCTAAAAGCTTTGAAAGTTTACACTTACATTCTGCACTTTAGGTGAGTGTTTTGATCCGTCTTGGAAATAATGTTACGGTTTTGAAAAGTTAGTTTTAAAGAACAACTCTTTAGAAACAACATTTAGTGCGGCACTTCCGCAGCTGCAGAAAATTCAGCAAGTTTTGGGCTGCTCAAGGTCGCCGAAATTTCCAGCGTAATCTGTACCATACGGCAGCTGTTGAGTGTTTCCGTTGTTTCAAAGAGTTGCTCTTTCAAACTAACGTGATAAAAAATAATCTGGGTTGGACATGGTTCGTGTCCCCATTGTAATCTTTAATTTTAATTGTAGGAAGGTCCACAGGTACTTTGAGATTGACAACATAACGATAGGAGACATCGATCGGGCGTTTTTAGTCGGTAAAGAAAAGTAGTTTTCATAGTCTACCTAACCTATTCCAGCCATATTATATCTTTAATTGAATATTTTGGCAAATCATTCAGTTACTATTATTGACCAATAATAATAAATTTTGCGCAGATCTAGAAAACCGTCGCCTTCATCGCAAGAAGCCCGGCCCGTCATCGTGCAAAACGGTTTATGGCGATGACAAAACGAGCGATCAGAACGGTCCACATGGGGGTCCTGGCTCGGTCGACAACTCCGCCCCCCACCACCAGCAGCAACAAGTCCAGTCACAACAGCAACATCATTACGACAGCAGCTGCAAATATGTGCCGCCACATTCGCCAATGACGCCCGGGTCGGTGGGGATGAATCCTCCAACACCTCCGCAGCAGCAGCAAGGTGAGGGACAATCCCTGTAAAAATTTTCCGCCCAAGAGATATGCAGAATCTTCCAGAACTCGGCACAAAAGCTCTGCAAAGTATTATTCTAGGCATGTATCTATACTATTATGCTCTGCACATAAAAATTTTTCAGATAAATTGTGCACAATTTTAGAGAGTTCTGCAATTTTCGGCTGGTCAATTTTCGTAATCTTTCATGACATTTGTTGAACATTCGGCTCAGAGGTAGTTTAACTTATTTATTGATTTAGGTCACCCCCCTCTACTTGAAATCTGCTCCACCCACGCCCGGTCATCCACAACACCCTTTGCCCCCAATCCAACCACATCATCACCAGTCTCCACCAACACCGCAACCTCCTCCTCAGTACCACCACCAGCATCACACTCAGCAGTTGTCACCTCCAAGCCGATCGCCACATCAGGGCCAAGTCAACTACGTCGGTCGGCAGCAAATGTCTCCCGGAATGCAGCAGCCCATGTCACCCGCGATGCACCAACAAATGATGGCGTACCAGCAGCAGCAGCAGCAGCAAGGAATGGTCATGGCGGGAGGATGAGGAAGGGTGACAATGGACGATGCGCCACGTCGACACTCGTTCCGCCCCCACCACTACAAGGTCACGGAATGCCTCCGCAGCAACCGGTTATTCAGCGAAGGGTTGGAGAGACGCCAAATCCGGCGGCAATGTTCCCCATTCGCCCTCCACCGCAACAACAACAACAAATGCAAAACAATCATGGCCAAGGTATGAAATTAGTTGTAGAATTATGAAGTATCGTGAGCTGCTTATCGTGACCGTTATGTCCGCCCGTCCCTCTATCTGTGAGCACGATATCTCCAAAACTCCTCAACATAGTTAAGAGCGGTTTACCTGAGGTTTTTCAAATTTAACCTTAATTTTCACATGCGGTGTCATTTCAAATGAAATTGCAAGTGCTTGGACACTATTTTTTAGTTTGTCACGATTTAATTTATTTTGCAGTTATAAACTATTTTCTAATTTCAGGCATGGCTTCATCGGGGTCCCACTCTCACCAGAGTCACCAAGGTCTCGATCCTCGCAACATGTACACCAATTTTGGTCCAGCCGACGCCTACGCCGCCATGTACCAACAGCAGCAGCATCCAGCCATTCGTCATCAATATCACCCGAGTCGGATGCCGCCAAGAATGTCGTCGTCATCATGGCATCACTCGTCGAGACCGCAATTTCCTCCTCCTCAATTACCGCAACAACATCACGGAAGAGAAGCTTCTTCAAACAGGCATATTCAGAACCTTCCTGCGCCATCCCGTTCCTTGGCGAAATTGCAACAACTCGCTCACGGGATGGGCGGAGGAGCGATGTCAAGTTCCACCGCTATGACGGCAACTCCCACCGCGCCACCCGTCGCCCCACCAGCACCGCACAACCTGCGGTACCAGCAGTATCAACAACAGATGCAACAACAAGCCCAGGTGGCAGCTTATTACCACCGCTATCCTGGCGCACAACAGCCCCCAACCACTTCCGGTGGAGGACAGCGTCCTCACGCCTATGCGCAACGACCTCCCTCCATGACTAACGGCGGGCGGCAGCATGGACAAGACCCGCGACAAACTGGGCCTTACTCTGGCTTGATGCCCCAACTCAATCCAAACATGAGACGCTGATAAGTCATCCCTTATCAAACGGATGACTACCATTTATTTCTATGAATGAATTAGACTATATGATTTTTCTACGTTTTTGTTACATTTTTGTAACTAATTATTCCATTAGTTTTTGTATGGAAATTATTTTTAGCGACTATATAATTAATTATTGTCAAGTTGTTACATGAAAATTCTTATGAAATTTACGAGATTATTCGCAGTTTACATTTTTGAGCTGACGTTGTTGTTGACGTGCTGCTGAAGGAACGACGGCGGTGAAGCAGGACTCTGAGAAGAGTAGTGCTCCTCCTTCTCCTAAAAGTGACGATGGTGGTGGTAAAGAGGACACAAATGAGAAGAAAAACAGTAGTGACGAAGTGGACAAGGAGAAAAGTGACGAGAGTGAGTCTTCTCCTGGACTTGACGAGGAGAAGGAGGAAAAGAACGGGGATGATGACGATGCCAAGGTGTTATTGACGAATAAAGTTCCCATAGTGAGCATGGAGGAGGAAGATAAGCCCGTGTCGAAAGAGGAAAAGGAGTATGACGTGCAGAAGGGGTCCGTCGAGGAGGAGGAGATTGTCACAAAATCTGAAATGGTATGACATTTGATAATTGATGATTTTATTTATTTATTTTACTTACACTCATTTCAATTTTTTAAGGATTCTGACGAGGGGACGAAAGATGTCACAAAACCGGAAATTGACTCATCTTCATCTCCGTCACCTGTTACTCTAGAACCGAAAAAGTGCCGCCTATGCAACGCAGTTTTAAGTGACAAACTCAGTGAAACGTGCCCGTTTGTGTCTCAAAGCCGGATCAAGAACTAAAATTGAGTCCTCCTGTCGAAGAGGAGTCCTCGCCGGCTGACAAATTACCTGACGTCGTCACCACCACGCCGGACGAACCGCCTCCGGAAGAAGAAGCCAAAGTGACCTCACTCCAGAAAGAAGAGGAGAAACCCAAGAGTAAGCGCAAGAAGCCGCCTAGTCAAGACTCCGCCTCGCCAAAGAAGGGAAAACCGTCGCCCTCCGTGGCGAAAGTCTCGAATGATGATGGTACTATTGACCTTGTTGTTGTTCCTGAAAAGCCCGGACCAAACCGTCGCCCTCCGTGGCGAATGATGATGGTACTATTGACCCTGTTCCTGAAAAGCCCGGACGTGGTCGTCCCAAAAACAAGGATACAAATAATAAAGACGTGACGACAGGCAAATCTGTGTCCCCCTCGGGTAAAAAATCTCTCGTCGTCGCCACTCCAACGACGACGCCACGTCGTGACTCGCGCGCCTCGTCGTCCTGCATTTCTCCCACGAGATCCAATCTCTTCGTGGAGAAACGTGTCGAGAAAAAGTCCGTGGCTAAATCTGTGAGCCCATCAGCTTCACACAAGAAGAAGAGCACTACCAAATCTGTCCCACTTCCGGAATCGTCTTCACCATCGCCGAAAAAAGGAGCCAGTCCTGTCGCCAAGAAGGCAAAGAAGGCGAAAAAGGGACGAAAATCGGAGAGTGATCATTTGGAGGTGAAAACAGGGCCGTCCTCGGGAGGGTCGTCGTCCTCAGGGAAATCTCTCCTCATGGACCAAGACTACGGGAATATCGTGGCCTTCAGAAGGAGGCGAGCGTTCTGGCGGATGCGGAGCAAAATCGGCGCAAGAGTTTGTCCCCACCGCAGAGAAGAATCAAGTTGAGCGCGAGTGTGACGAGTTCTCCGAGCGTGTCAACCCCCACGGGTCGCAAGAGTAAGAAGAAAAATGCGCCCACCAAAGAACCTTCGCCATCACCGCCGCCACCCGAAGTGAAACTTGTGCCTGAAGTTGTCAGTCGTAAATCTGCTCCTTCTACTTCCGCTAGCGTTCGAAAGAAGCTGCTCTTATCTCCCATGAAACCTTCCAATTCGACAAAGACGCCGAAACAGAAAGATTCTGGGGAGGATGTCGACTCAGCCGTGACGCTGTCTGGACGACCTCGCCGCGGCGTAACGGTCGCCACTACACCGTCGGTTCACAAGACGCCAAAATCTTTAGCCTCCGCCTCTGCGACGGTGGGAACGTTGAAACAAGTTCAAGTCGTGGGTGCAAGACGAAAAAGTGGACAAAGAAGAAGAGTGACGGGGGTGGGATAAATATTGTACGAACCGCGATTGAAACTCCCATCAGACCTGTGGCGACGACGCCGTCACAGACTGGTGGTCGAAAGTGCCTCAACTTCAGCAGTGGTGGAGACGAAACGCCGTCGCCAAGCGGGAGGAAGGGGAAGTTTGGCGACAAGTACGCGATGCGGAAGTATTTGAAGAAGAAGGCGTTGACTCATCAGAAGACTGCTGGCGTGGCGTCGGCGACTGGGCGAAAGAATGAGAAAGTTCTCCAGCCAAACAAGACCAAGAACAAGGGCGGCGGCGGAGGCGGGGGTGGTGTGAGTGGCGGAGATCTGGTGGCCGACACGAGCAGCGGGACAGATGGGGTGGAGAATTCTGACCTTTCCATTCAGGACGATCGTGCCATTAAAGGTGCGTGTGAAAAACTCTGCATCTGCGTGGATTGGAAGTTGGTCGAGTCGCACGGGGCGCGCGTTTCTGCGAGCAAGTCACGGATAAAGATTGATCGCGACGCTCTCCGTTGGACTCCGCTGGTCTATAAGCAGTACTACGATGATGAAGAGGCCGCCGGAAGGTCGCGAGACGGCTCACCCGACAGCGGAGATCGGACAACGTCCCCGATTCGAAAAACGTCCTTAGCTGCAGCCATGTCCACGCCGGACAAGAATCTCAAGAGCCCTGTCGTGCTTGGGAGGAGGGCGAGAGTGGCGGCGAACGCGTACAAGATCAAGAAGGAGAAGAAGAAGAGCGTGAGACGGGTGATTGAATTGACGCCGCCAAGAAAGAATGGCAAATCTGCACTTTCCGTACCAACTGCGAAATCGCCACTTGCCGTGGTGACACCAAAACCGTCACATAAAAAGACAACGGTCGTGATTCAACCGGAAATTGAAACCCCGAAAGTTGTCCCCGTCGAGGATAAAAAGAAGAAAAAGAGTCAAAAAGAAGGAATCGGAAGTCATAGTTCCACAAGTTGTGGAAGAAGAAGTCGAGGAGGAAGATGACGAAGAAGAAGAAGACGAGTCCGAACCAGAAGTTGAATCAGAGCAGGAGGAAGAAGATGAAGACTCAGATTCTGACGAAGACGACGATAGCGACGATGATGAGGAAGACCCTCCACCACCACCACCCAGACCAGACCAGACCTGGGCGACGATCTGCCGGGAAGAAACGTGGCAACGATGGTGAAGACGAAGAAGGTGACGATGAGACGCCAAGGACGAGACGAAGGGGTCGCAGTTCGACGCGTGGTGGTAGCAGATCCACTTCCGGAGGAGGAGGTGCCAGTCGTGGACGAAAACGGCTGGATTGGAGTGCTCAAAGTGAGAACAAATTGGAGGCTGCGATGCTTCAAACGTCCATGGCGCTGATGGCGGAAAAGAAAAAGTCTCCCGTGAAGAGGAAGCTGAGCCAAAGCGATCCCGACGATGATCACAAAGCAACTGAACAAAGCTCCCCGCTCTCGATTAAATTGTCACCTCAGCCGCAAAAAACGTGGCCTCCAGTTGCACCACAAGTGAAAATGACGACTCCTCCTCCTCCTACTGCAGGACTTTCGGTGGGAATCCCTGCCACCAGCCCGACCACAGCGGCAGATTCCACTTCCAAGAAGAACTTTAAGGAGATGCTGCTCGGGAAAGTTTTGAAGGGGAGAGCGACAAAAGTCAAGAATTTAGAGGAGGAAGAAAACGCCCACAATTGTTAAACCCAGCTTTTTGACAAATAGAGCTGCTTATTAATTAATTAATTAATTATGTACTTAAATGGGATAGTATTTATTTATTTATTTGTGTATAAGTAATTGACTAACTAAAATAAGAATAACCTGGTGGGTAGTAGATCTTTAAGGAAAATGGCAAATAAGTAAAAATGAAATATGCAAATTATTAAATATAATGATTAATAAACGATATAATGATTTTGAAAAATCAGTATGGGTCACCCCATAGGGTCACTCTGGTTGCACTTTACTCACTTTTAACTTCATATTCTTTAATTAGAAGCCATTAAGTACCATTGTGCCGGATTTCATCTTTTTAAAGTAATTTCTAAAAATCAGTATGGGTCACCCCATAGGGTCCCTCAAGATTAAAATTTTTCCAACCTGAAGTTATTTTTTTCTATTAGGAGCCATTAGCAACCTCTGTATCAAAGTTCACCTCTCTACAACAATTTTGAAATTTTGGTGCAAAATACCCTACCCACTTATATGACCCCCACCGGTTCAAAACTTTTCTGATCGAACCCATCTTCTAACTCGGTCGTTGCATTGCCCAGATACATGTCTGCACCAAATTTGGTCAAAATTGGTTAACTCGTTCGACTGACATGACAATTACATAAGCCCTGGTTCGGGCTAAAAATCACGACTCGAGAAAAAGTCAGTCTTTGGATGTAATCCGAATATTTTAACGTTGCGATGTGATTAAAAGTCGACAATAATTACTTAATAAATTTCGTAAAAAATTGATATATGTAACTAAGGACGGATCTTTTTAATTGTTGTGTTTTCGTCCGGCACTTCGTGTAAAATTGTTCGCCATGACATACATGGTCAAAATGCTTAAAAGGTTAACAACGAAAACAGAAGTAAGTAATAAAATCCAAGCCGGTCATTATAAATATGTCGTTGTCGGTACCGGCTAAGAAATCGCAACGATGTCGAAATATGCAAATTGATGGACTTATTGTAACATTAAAACTAACTTATTTTTATTTTGGCGTTCAACTTATTCAGTTTCGTATGATTTGTATACCAAAATAAAAATAAGTGGTGTTAAATAATAAAATAGGTCGGATAATAATAAAATATTCGGCTGATCTGGCTAATGTAATCCAAAAGAGTAGAGTCCCTTAAATGGTGACCCAGAGGTCAAAAACAATTTTTCTTACTTATATTCATATCAGTCTTTAATTTTGCAACATTTTTACAAAAACAAATTTTTGGGCCGGTGACGTCGCAAAATTAATACTACCATGTGGTCTCCAAACTTTTCACTCTAAGAGCCTCATTTTTTTAGTACCTTGTGCAGGATATTTGCGAAACGTCACACAACACAATATCCAGTTCTGAATTGTTGCAAATTGCAAATGCTGCAATTTGCATGACACGTGTAACAAATGACACGACGCTCCGAACGTTTGGTTCAATTCTTCCGTGTATTCTGTTTCCGGTCTTCGGGCGCTTACTGCTTATTGATTAATTATAAAGTAATAATATATTAGGCGTAAAAAATCATTCAGCAACATGTATGTACGCAGTGGCCGTGGAAGTTGTGGGGACATTAGCATAGTGGGATAGAGGAGGTAGGGGTTTATATAAGACTAGCATATAAGCCCATCTTCCGCCGGGCGAGAGCTTATTTTATTATCATGAAAATTGAGTGGGATTGTTCATAATTCCAAAGAATTAATTTTTATTGTACATATATTACTAGCCGGAAATGTCTGTTTCGCGCCATTAGAAACTTAACTTTCTCAACTTTCACTTCCGTTTCGGAAAATTACTTTCACTTCCGTTGCCAACAAACATTTCCAGCTTATAATATAGAAGATGGGCGGATGATGGGGACATCGAACAAATGAGTGGGGACATTGTCCCTCTGTTCCCACACGCTTCCGCGGCCACTGGTTGTATGTATGTTAAAATATATCAACGTAAGATTAGCTGTCAAAAAATTACAGCTTTGTATAGTTTCATACACTGTAATATGAAACCAAGAAGAGTCTCGATCAAATCTTCTTTAAAATGTCTTACATTTCGTTTCATGTTTCTTTCTCTTGCAAAGAATGGCGCTGGAGAAAGTGTGCCATTAAAAATCGTGTACCATTTGCCTTTGGTCAATGTATTATTTATTATTTGCTAAATATGCACATCCTAAATTTATGAGTTTAAACTCATAAATTAGAATTAACAGACTTTCACGAGTGGTTCAACAATGAGACGAGAAATATTTAATTGAGCATCTTACGAGCCCCATGCAGCATTTATTTAACCATTTAAAGAGGACAAGTAAAATTCATGATGTCCATAATTCGTGTCACCAGGCGACAGTAGAGTCACCTTAATTCGTGAGGGAGCTTTATTTCTAAGGGATCATTATTCGTAACCAAAAATGCTACTGTTGATTCAAAATTAATATGCAGTAAAAATTCTGAAAGGTTATTTGGCGGATGATTGGTTTCCATTGATTGGTTTTGTTTATATTCTCAAAATTTCACATGATTTTCATTTAAAAAGTAGAAAAAATGTGCATAATTAAATCGTTGTCAGTGTCAACCAGCAACTTCGGCCATTCGACCTTTTAAAAAATTTTGAGGAATTTACTGCATATTAATTTTGAACGAACAGTAGTCAAATATGTTACTCCGTGACAACATTTTCACAAAAAATTTTAATTAGCCCGACCCAAGGCTTATGCACCCGTGTTGTCCATCTGTACGATGATAACTCTTTTTAAAATTATCCGATCGACTTGATATTTTCCACACATATAGACCATACAAATACACAACTCAAGTTCGAAGACAGTTTCGATCGGTCAAGTGGTTGGCCGGTAGGGGTCATATGGATGTTGGGGGTCAAGGGTAACGAAAATTCAAAATTTGCGTGAAAGTTTATAATGACTTGCAATGGAAGAATATAACGTGGAATTGAATAGATTTTTATCTTGAGGTACCCTATAGGGTAAATGTTAATCTTAAGTTATTTCTCGACTCCATACTAAATTTCAGCTGATTATATCAATTTTAAGAAATCGGTGTGGACCACCCCCTAGTGTCCCTCTGCAAATTTTTGTTCATATTTAACTTCCTATTATTTTATGAGAAGGCAGTAAAGATCTCTGGTCCTAATTTCAGCTTTCCATGTTAATCCATGAAAATTGGTGGGGGTCACCCCATAGGGTCCTTCCAGATGAAAATTTTCCAGATTCCAATGTATGTCCTTCCATGAAGGCCATAACAAAACTAAATGCCAAATTTCAGAACGATATGACGATTTTGAAAAATCAGTATGGGTCACCCAATAAGACCCCTCCAGATGAAAATTTTACCAATTTGAGAAAATATTTTTCCTTTAGGACTCATAAGCAATTTATCTACCAAATTTCAGTTCGATATTACGACTTTGCAAAATCAGTTGGGGTCCCTCACCATAGGGTCCCTCAACATGAAAATTTTTCGAATTTGGGTTCATATCCTTCCTTCAGGACCCATTTACTATCTCTGTACCAAATTTCAGCTTTCTACGACAATTTCGAAATTTCGGTACCCTACAATGTATACCAGATGACCCCTACGGGTCAACCAGGGGACCGATTTTGCCCATCTTCGAACTCGGTTCCTAACTTTGTCCAATATGCATCTGGTAAAAATTTCTAGTCAATCGGCTAACTCGTTCCAGAGTTATCGAAAGACAGACGGATAGACGGACAGACGAACGGACATGACAATTACATAAGCCCAGGTTCGGGCTACAACAAATGTCGACGTCACGAATTATGGCGAATTTGCCTGAGAGCGACAAACGTCTACGTCACGAATTAAGGTTAGGTTTTCTGTGGCAACATATGTCATCGTCACGGGTTATGGAGCGGATTTTGGCGATGACATATGCCTTTGTCACGAATTATGGACAAGTCGCCAAAGCGACATATGGGGCCGTCCATAAATTACGTAACGCAAAAATCGCGATTTTCTAGACCCCCCCCCTCCCCCCTTTAACATGTGTAACATAGGCACGATATCATTGGAGCCTTAGACCCCCCCCTCCCCCCCTCTTGCGTTACGTAATTTATGGACGGCGCCTATGCCACTTTCACAGATTAAATGGTTAAGAATAATTCAAAGTTTGAATTATACCTGAGCAGTTTGAATTTCAAACTGCATGTATTGCTACATGACGGATTAAATAACGCCCGGGTGCATCAAATCAATTATGCATGCACACACATATTTAAGCCATGCAGATGCGTATCAGGCCTGAATTGCACGATATGTTCCATCCGATTCGTATGACCATCACACGCGACCATTAATTAGCGTACTCTTAAAAATAAAGACGCCTCGTGTAAAAAATGACACGACGCTCTGAACGTTTGGTTCAATTCTTCCGTGCATTCTGTTTCCGGTCTTCGGCCGTTTACTGCGTAATATTGATTAATTAGGGTGTAAAAAATGTATTAGCAGCATGTATGCTAAAATGTGTCAGCGTAAGATTAGCTGTCAAAAAATGGCAGCTTTGCATACTTCATACGCTGTAAATAAGTAATATGGAACCAGGAAGGGTTTCATGTCTCTTGCAAAAAATGAGACTGGAGAAAGTGTGCCCTTAAATCGTGTGCCCTTTGATCACTTTGGTCCATGCATGGCTGATTTATTGGCCGGACATTTACTTTTACTTAAATCGTGAATTTATAAGTTTAAACTTCAAACTGAAGTTGACTGATTTTCACTAATGGTTCAAGGATGGGACGAGAAATATTTAAGTGATCATCTTAAGAGCACCAGGGCTTAGAATTAATTCAAATTACATGAATTGACACGTGACGAGTTAATTATGTAACGGCCGGTTACGGCCAAATCGATTATGAATGCCCAAACATAAATAAGCAATCTATATTTGTAGGTAGATTATTTGTAGGTAGCGTGTCAGCCCTGGGTTACATGCACGATATGGTCCCCATCCTCCATATGCGGCCACTAATTCGTCTATTTTTATTCGTAAAAATAAAGACGACCTCATGCAATACATATTTGATTGAAGAGAAGGAATAATGGAACATGATTTTCTTTGAACTCCGGATGTTAACAAACAATGAAATTTTTTGTAACTATTTATTCAATGAAAAGCTTGCGTCATTAACGATTTTGAACAACAACGCGTTATTAT